CACACACCACACACCGCCATCCACACACCACACACCGCCATCCACACACCACACACACCACACACCGCCATCCACACACCACACACCACACACACCGCCATCCACACACCACACACCTGCCATTCACACACCACATACACCACACACCCGCCATTCACACACCACACACACCACACACCGCCATCCACACACCACACACCACCATCCACACACCATTCACACACCACACACCGCCATCCATACACCATTCACACCACACACCGCCATCCACACACCTACCATCCATACACCACACACCATCCACACACCACACACCGCCATCCACACACCGCCATCCACACACCATCCACATACCACACACAACTATCCACAGACCATCCACACACCACACCCACCATCTACATACCACACACTTGCCATCCACACACCACACACCCACCATCCACACACCTACCATCCATACACCACACTGCCATCCACACATCACACACCGCCATCCACACACAGCCATCCACACACTCACCAGCCACACACCCACCATCCACACACCACACACCGCCATCCACACACAGCCATCCACACACTCACCATCCACACACCCACCATCCACACACCACACACAGCCATCCACACACAGCCATCCACACACTCACCATCCACACACCCACCATCCACACACCACACACAGCCATCCACACACCACACACACCGCCATCCACACACAGCCATTCACACACTCACCATCCACACACCCACCATCCACATACCACACACAGCCATCCACACACTCACCATCCACACACCCACCATCCACACACCACACACAGCCATCCACATACCACACACCCACCATCACACACAGCCATCCACACACTCACCATCCACACACAGCCATCCACACACCCACCATCCACACACCATCCACATACCACACACAGCCATCCACACACCACACACCCACCATCACACACAGCCATCCACACACTCACCATCCACACACAGCCATCCACACACCCACCATCCACACACCACACACACCGCCATCCACATACCATTCACACACCACACACCCACCATCCACACACCATCCACACACCATTCACATACCACACACTGCCATCCACATACCACACACCCACCATCTACACACCATTCACTGCAATCCACACACAGCCAGCCACACACCACACACAGCCATCCACACACCCACCATCCACACACCACACACCCACATCTACACACCACACACTGCAATCCACACACAGCCATTCACACACCACACACCGCCATCTACATGCCACACACCACACACCACACACCGCCATCCACACACCTCCAGCACTGGGCCCCTGGACTTCCCTGAGTCCCACACTCCCAAAATAAGCACTGAAAACACACTGATGGGTCTGTTACAGCAGCCACACTGACTGAGACACCGTGGTGGCGTGCTGGAAATGTGAATACATGTGTGTGCGTGCGCATGCACGCGTGTTTTGGTTTGGTCTACAGTTGCTGACTCGTCCTGTCTCCTGAGGTGCCATCCCCTGCGGCGCCATGTTGGAGCTGGCCGTGCCCAGTGAACTGTCTGCCCGCCTCTTGTGTGGTGTGGGTCAGCACACCACCTCTCTCTGGAGGGGTCTAGAGGGGTCCTGCCTGTACCCCACCCTGCCTGCATCTGGACAGAGAGGCCTCTTGAGGTCTCTCAGCCCCGCCGGCTGGAAGTCCTGCCTGCTCGGAAGTCTCCGGCGCACACCAAAGCAGGGTTTGACGGCTCGGGGTCAGCAGTGCCGGCCGGCTCCTGTGGGACACGGCCCGCCTAACCTATTCTAGAACTTTCCAGAGGCAACGCATCAGTGCTGTGGCTGCTCAGGCAAGGAAGCAAACCTGAGGAGAGGTTCTGAGGACCCTGGGGACTGCTGGCTGGCAGGGGCACAGGTGGGACCCTGGGGGCCGGGCCTGGCGCCCCGAGTGTGAGGAATGGCAGGCGTGGGGACTGACCTCACCCACGAGGCCGCTGTGCGGGACCCGCGTCGGCCCATAGCACCCCAGCGGCACTGTCTGCCTGCCGCTGCGGACGCGCACAGCTCGCCAGACCCAGTGTGAGCACGGAAGGGACGGACACAGAGCTGCTGTGCTCCTCCAGACGCGTCCCCCTGAGAGGCCGGCAGGGCCCGGCCCGGCTGGCAACCGCAGCGGGGGACAGAGACGTCCTGGCCAGGGTGAAGCTTACAATTTGATAGCCAAAGTCTAGTTTTAAACAGTGGGAAAGAAAAGGTTGGAATTAATCACTGAAACGAGCCCGGCGCTGGTGGCTCACGCCTGTAATTCTAGCCACTCGGGAGGCTGAGATCTGAGGATCTCAGTTCAAAGCCAGCCCAGGCAGCAAAGGTTGTGAGACCGATTTCCAGTAATCCACAAAGACGTGGGGCTGTGACTCAAGTGGTAGCGTGCTAACCTTGAGCAAAAACAGCTCAGGGACAGTGCCCAGACCTGGAGTTTAAGCCTCAGGATCAGCGTGTACAAGTGTGCACACACATACCCCAACAACTTTTTCCGGGCTGGAGTTTGAACTCTGGTAGTCTTTGCCTCGTATACACAAGGCCCTGGGGTTTGATCTGCAGCACTGCAAAGTAAGTTAGTAAATAAAAACAAAGCTCAATGACAGTCTGGTGCTGAGTGTTAGTTGTTTGCTTTTGTGTTTTGGGGGGACAGAGTCTCACTATGTGGCTCAGGCTAGCCTCGACTGGAGATCCTCCTGCCCCGGCTGCCCCCACCTGCTGGCATTAGAGGGTGACTTTTGTGTGCGTCATCCCTTCCCGCGAGCTAGCAGGACACCCCCAAATGAGGCAGAAGCGGTGGGAGCGGAGCACTACCTGCCGTCGAAGAAGAAGAACTTGCCGCGTCCGTTCTTCTCCCCGTGGACAAAGTGGCCTTCGAACCTGTCCGTGGAGGAGTAGGTGACCGTGCAGGGCCCGTGTGGCAATCCATCCTCGTCCAGTTGCCCTGGGAAGAGGGGACAAAGGCAGCGCTGAGCCCGGCCTCGCCCCCTGGCCCCCCGGCCTGAGCCCCGGCCTCGCCCCCCGACCCCCCGTCCGCTGGCACGGCCTTCACCTTCCCCGCGCTGTGGGATTGTCACGGGTGCGGCGTGGACTCAACGTCCACACAGAGACGCCGGCGGTGTGTCGGGACTGGACACCGCATGCGTTTACCTGGGGTCAAGTTGTTTTCAGGAATTACCGACAGTGTGGCCTGGTGACCAGATACTTCCCCACGCGGTGACGCGTCCCCAGCTGGGTGCCAGTGGGACACTTCAAGGGGACCCGCAGCGTCCTGCGGATCTGCAGCCCCCCCAAATCACAGCCCCTGCCTCATCCGCCGCCAGGAACCCCGCCCCAGCCGACACGTGGGAGGGATGACACAGCACAGCTGTTTCCAGAAGTTACTGACACTCCACCATCCCATCTATCCAGACCCCACTTCCCCCAGGACATCGTGGGACTCCCAGCACAGTGCTCCCTGGGCGTCAGTCAACCTGTGCCTGCATTCCTCGGAGTCTTCCTTCTTTCTTCAATAGCCAGAGCTCTCTGGCTGTCACACTTGGTGGCTCTCACTCCTCGGCAGAGTTAGAAAAGCCAAGCAGTCCACGCAAGACCCTCCCGGGAGCGGGGACCTCATTTCCACAGATTCTAGTAAGTCTGCCCGATGGTGTATTGACACGGCGGTCTGTCTGCTCCATTCTCCTCTCTCATTCTGGCCTTACAAAATGCACACAACTGACACGCCATCTTCTCTCCTGGGTCTAGAATGACCAAATAGTGACACGCCAGTTTCCCTTTCCTATCCTAAACAGTCACTGTCCAGTTACCATGTAAAGAGCTTGGCTCTTGGCGAATGTCCTCTTCCTTCTGCTTTCTTCTTGCGTGTACTAAAATAGTTCCACCCAAGATCTTTTGGAAGTGTGATTATTTTAGCCAGCCCTGGTGGGTAACCAACATCCCGTTAGTTACACTCATGTAAGGACCGAAGCCGGAGAATCATGTGAAGGCCTCCTTTAAAAGTCCAAGCACCAAGCTGGGCACCAGTGGCTCATGCCTGTCATTCTAGCTACTCAGGAAGTTGAGATCTGAGGATCATGGTTTGAAGCCAGCCAGAGCAGGAAACTGTAGACGGTTGTCTCCAATTAACAACCAAAATGCTGAGAGCAGAGCTGTGGTAGAGCACTGGCCTTGAGCGAAAAAGCTCAGGATAAATGTGCAGGCCCTGAGTTCAGGAGTGCATGCACACACGTGTGTGTGTGTGTGTGTGTGTGTGTGTGTGCGCGCGCGCACGCGTGTGCACACGCGCACACAATCCCAGTGGCAACAAAGTTCGCATACAAATGAAGCCGTAAGCAGCAATTGGTGTAAAAAGTGGTTTTGCTACACCATCTGAGAAAGGCAACCTGGAGGGCTGACGGTCTCATTAGCCCCCTCACCTGCCCGGCCCCATTCCTGCTCTCTGCTCAACCGGGGCCAGCAGCCATCACTAAATGTTCTAGATTGTTCTATTCCAACAGACTTGCCAAAAGGAGGTGCTGTGGCCTCCTAGCCTCTAACTCTATGTGGTGCTGTGCTGCTCTCCCCGGCGATGAGCTCGGGCCTTTCGTCTGTTTTGTCTGGCCTTTTAGTAAAGTTTAATGTTAGTCTTAAAAAGGCAAAAAAAAAAAATTATTTTCTTCATTTATTTGCTCACTGCCGCCAGTCCATAAATAAGATTTTGTACTAAAAGCAAAGAACTGTTCCAAAATAGAGAAAGGTAAAGCAGGGTAAAGCCAGAGGGCTCACAGCACGTCGCAGAAGCCCCGCATTTCAGGGTTTATGCTGAGATACAACTCGTGGACTCCAGTCAGCTATGGAGAGGTATGAGGGCGTTCTGGGATAAAAGGGTAAGTTTGCTGGGTTTAATCCTCATAAACAAGATTTGTCGCAAAGGAAGAAAACCAGAAAGGGTTCAGCAGTGCCTCCAACCTGGCTTTTGTATTTGTATTTTTATTGTTATTGTAAAGGTGATGTACAGAGAAGTTACACGTGCGTCAGTCAGACAATGGGTACATTTCTTTATGGACAGTGTCACCATATTCTTCACTCTCTCCTCACCCACACGCTGTACAGTTCACTTTCCACATGGTGTCTAGAGAGCCCCACGGCTGTACCTGTTCACCTCGGTCCCTCCGTTTCTGTGTCCAGCCTGGCTTTTTAATGGGTGTTTAGGAGATGGAGCCCAGGGACTTTTCTGTCCTGGGTCTCAGCTTCCTGAGTAGCTAGGATTACAGGCGTGAGCCATCAGCGCCTGGCTTTCTTGGGTATTTTTCTGCAGTGGGGTGAACAGCTGGTGTCCTGTCTGCAGTCCTGCCCTTACATATTAAACGCAGACGCTGAGGGTCAGAGGGACTCCGACACTCATTCACCTGCGGACCGGAAGTCCTTCTGAGCTTCAGTGTCATCTTCGCCTCACTGCTGTACCTCACAAAGTCGTGTTTAGCAGATGGGTGGCAGAGGGCTTCTCTTTTAGGTGGTGATTCCAGCCTCAGCCGAGGTGGCCCACTGATCGCAAGGCATCCCTTTCCCATGGCTACCTCTGCCTTCCAGAAGCCCCAGGAGCCACGGCACCAGTGTCTCTCCAATCTCCCAGGGGGAACTGAAGTGGTAGTTGTAGCCAGAAATAAAGGCAGGAGTTAGTTGGTCTACTGGCTTTGGTCTGGGCTAACAACGTGGGTCGTGACTGAAGAGAAAAATGAAAACATTAACTAGTATGCAATGCAGGGACACTAAACACCAAAATGTGTTTTCAGGTTAACTAGTATGCAATGTAGGGACATTAAACACCAAAACGTGTTTTCAGGTGGTGCAGAGACATGAGAGAAAACACAGATCACACAGCCCAGGAACACTTTAGTGCCTTAAAATGATTTCTCCTAACAGGATGAAAGAATAATACTAGGTGGAGGTATGGTGCCATAGTAGAGCATCTGCCAAGCAAGCTCAGAGCCCTAGGTTCAATTCCAGAATTGGGGTGGGGGTGGCAGTTCATATCTGTAATCCTAGATACTAAGGAGGTTAGACCAGGAAGACTATGTTTCAAAGTCAGCCTAGGTGAAAATCCTGCAAGACTCCAGCTCCAATTAGCCAGCAAAATCTCAGACTGGAGGTAGGGCTCAAGTGGTAAAGCACCATCCATAAGCAAGTAAACTAAGAGGCCCTGAGTTTAAGCCCTGGTAGACACACGTGTACATGCATGCACACATACACACGCACACACACATAAATGATATTTGGCTGGGAATGGTAGTGTGCTTGCTTTGCATCAGGATCTAGGTTCCACAAAATAAAAGAAATTCCAAGAATATTACCCCTTAGAAGAGATGGTAAGTAGTCTCATAAAGAATTAAGATACTCAGGAGTGGCGCTGTAGCTCAAGTGGTAGAGCGCTCACCTTGAGCTGAAAAGCTGAGGGACAGTGCCCAGGCCCAGAGTTTAAGCCCAACAACCAACCAAAAAAAAAAGAATTAAGATACTTTTTAAAATCTTTCTTATTGATTACAGAAACATAAAGTAGAAGCAAGCAAATATAATGCATAATTATTATCTCTGACCCTGTATACAGTGGGTTATTTAGAATACATGACTTCTTAAATAGACCACAATAGGTACAGTAATTCATTTCAAAATGAGCCTTTTCTACAAGGGCCAAGAAATTAATAGAAGGTAGGAACTAGGCTTTGGTTTTCTTTTCCTACCAAAACCAATGGCACATGATATAATTTGATGACACAGTCATAGGAAATAATTTGGAGAATTATTGTCTGAATATCTAGTGATGATAATTCTGTTACTGAAGTAGATTCAATTTCCTTTCTTTTCAGGAAAACCATTATATCTCTGTATAGCTAAAAGCTTTTGCTTATGAAGTGTTGTTAGGAACAAATTAAATTTATCTATTTGCATTCCTATGAATTTAGTGTCTTACCTTTGACTTAGGTATAAATATCAGAATAATCAAGTTAGTCTCAGATGAGAATATTTACTAATATCTTGAAATGCTTTCATCATGGTAAAAAGTTAATTTATTTCAGAGTTAAAAGTTTGGGCCTGGGGATGTGGTTTAGTGGTGGAGTGCTTGCCTAGCGTGCATGAAGCTCTGGGTTCGATTCCTACGTACCACATAAATAGAAAAAGCTGGAAGTGGCGCTGTGGCTCAAGTGGTAGAGTGCTAGCCTTGAGCAAAGAGAAGTTCAGGGATAGTGCCCAGGCCCTGTGTTCAAGCCCCAGGACTGGCAAAACAACAACACAAAACCCCAGTTAAGTTTGTTATTCCACTTTTGATTGGAGAAATCTGGTAACTGTGAGCACAAACTTTCATGTCAATCCATCCCACCTGCCCTCTGCCCTGCCTTATTTAGGAATAAACTCTGAAGGGACACTCTCAGTATGGCCACTTAGAGACAGTGGCAACAAAGGCGCCACGTCTCACAGCAAAGGCACTGATCCTGACAAAAGTCTTGAGCTGGAAGTGTGACCTAAGTGGTAGAGTGCCAGCTGTAATGGACAAATCCAAGCAAGAGCGTGAGGTCCCTGAGTTCAAACAATGGCACTGACACACACGGAGACGTGCGCGCGTGCGCACACACACACACACACACACACACACACAGTTTCGACTCTGCCCAATGGGGGATTGAGGACCTACTGCTTTTTCCAGCAGGGCAACAGAGGGAGTTCTGACACTTGGCTTCTCTTCTTAGAGAGCGAGAGAAAAGCAGAGACCGACTTCAAGATGAAAGTCATTTCTCACACGACATGGGGCCTTTGACCCTCCCCTGACACTTGGGAGGTTCGAGGGCTGCTTGTGAGAACTAGGAAGTCGGTTAGACCACAGAAAAACTCCTCTGGGCTTGTTTTGTTTCCTTTGCATCCGCAGGATGTGTTCCCTGAAAAGCACTAGAATTTGAGATTAGGATTGATCAAGACTTCCATCCCGAATATGCAATAGCACCGAGTAGTGTTCCAAGCAGTAGGAAACTGCTTACGATCTAAACAATGATGCAAACCCTCCACCTCCAACTAAATTATAACCACGACACTTTCTAAGCCAAGTAAAAGCAGGAAAGAGAAGAAAAGTGATTGGACTACTATTTCCAGGGCAATTCCCCTGCCTGCCTGCCTGCCTGCCTGCCTGCCTGCCTGCCTGCCTGCCTGCCTGCCTGCCTGCCTGCCGCTTCTATGTGATGTACCAGGGCCTTGAACTCAGGGTCTTGCTAAGCTTGCTCTACCACTCCAGCCACATCCCCAGCCCTCCCTCTTCTCTAGGATTCTTGTTGCAATGCTGTTTGGACAATAAGAAGATCGTGTGATTTTTTTCTCCCCATGACGGTAGTAGCCAATTTAATGGCGAGGGAAATTGGCCTGCAGATGAAGAACAGTTTGGGCAGTAATTTGGGTCTGGCCTGGGAGAAGCGGTTCCAGCTATCTATGTTCAACTTCCCAGCCATCGCAGGAGGACCCGACCCCAGCTCCCACCAGGCCACTTCTCAACAGAAAAGCCCACCCCTCCCGCAGACACCACCCGACACGCACTGCCAGGCCCCTGGCGGATGAGGCAAAGGACTTGTGGCCAAGATAACTCTCACGGGACTGCTTTCAAAACGAAGTTCCCAGTACATCCTGCCTCTCCCCAGTTACAACTGGGGAGAGAAACCTTAGTCCTTGCTCGGATTGAGGTCAGGCTGTCCAAGCCTGGTCAGCCCGCGGCCTGGCCGGCCGGCCCGGTCCCCAGACCAGTCCCCGCCTCTCAGTGGAGGGCACCAGGCCCAAACAGCAGAGCTCCGAGGGCTGGCAGGCCTGCTGCCCAGAGCTCCACCCGGCTGAGCAGCCAGAGGAAGGAAACGCCAATGGAAACTCACAGATCCGCTCTTCCATTCTTCTAAAGATGATTTTCTACCCAGCGGAGGGAAAGCTTGTTTTTCTAAAACTCCCCGGAATTATTTTGGAATGAGTGTTCCCCCTTTTCTAATCAGGGCCAAGCTGCTGAGGGCCTCGCAGTGTGTGTGTGTGTGTGTGTGTGTGTATGCCTTTCTGTCTGGGAGTATGTCTGCCTCCCAGCGAGGACCCCTTACATACACTGCTGATTTTGGAGACCGGATCACTGCTAGGACAAAACAAAGCAGAATAACACTACGACGAGGCGGACTTATCGATGCCCAGTGTCTGCCGTGTGGATCATTCACGACAAATGGAATTGGATCTTTTCAGGGCAATTCTTAGGGAGAGCTCAGTGATTAGTTAGGAGGGCCATAGTCTTCATGCCCCTGGAACCCAGGAACTCGTCTGCCCTGGGGAAGCAGCAGGGTTGATTATTAGACAGGCAGGCCAGGATGGGGGGGGTAGGGGTTGCTAATGAAAAGATCCTCACTCTTTTGGGGGGCGGGCAGGGGGATACTTAGTGGCTTGTTTTTGGCTGGTCTCTTGCTCTGAGGAGCTGATACATCTTCTCTGTGTCTCCTGCGGCTTCCAGGCCATTCTGGATTTTGTTGTTGTTTTCCCAGTCTGCCCTGATATCTGTGCATTGCACAACTGCACAGAGCTCTGGGGTTTGGCCCCTGGCCCACCCCGCTCACCTCCATGCTCATCCTCAGGACTGCAACCCATCCTCCTGCTCCTTTTCCCCAGCCACACTTCTCCAGTTGAGTCCTGAAAGAATTTTCTGGATGTACTTTGGGTCTTCACTCACAAAGGTCCTTTCTCAACCTACCTCTGTGGCACCTCCACTGGGAAACGGCGTCCAGCGGCCTCCCGAGGCCGTCAGGAATTGTTACTTCCTTCTGGCCCTTCACTCCTTTAGAGGCGGGAAGCTTACTTGAAATGATGTCAGACAGGGCCCCCCTCCCTTCCCCCGCCTCTCTCTCTGTCTATGGGGAGGAGGAGACGGGTGCAGCTTTACATAGTCTTGTTTCCAGGGGCTCTTAAGGAGCAATATTGGGAAGCTAAACATAAACAACCCTGCTCTAAGCTGATGAGCGTTTGTTTTTGTTTTGCTGTGGTTGTTAGCCACTGCAGAGGCTGGGGGCAGTAGCTCCCACTTGTAATCCCAGCTTACTCAGGAGGGTCGAGAGTTCCGACATTGGCTCAACAGTGAGAGGATGGCAGAAGCAACCTCAGGGCCTGCACCCAGCGCTCAGCTGGGGTTTCCAGGCCCTGCAGCCCAGCGCCTGCTGCTGGGGGGGGGGCACGGGGCACACAGGCAGCAGGACCTTCCTCCTGCCCGTCCCTGCTCCTGTCCCTGCTCCTGCCCCACCCCCACCCCCCAGGCCCATTCCCGGTGGGCACGCATCCATCTGCCTTCACCGGGGTGCAGTTCTACCCGGACAGAGAAATCCAAGGTGCAGCTGATGTAGCAGACGCTTCAGCTCCAGCCCAGATGACACCAACTCCTTCTCCAGTGTGTACTCGCAATGCACATGGAGAAAGAGAGGCTGGAATCAATCCTCTTTTCCCAGACCGTTTTTCTGACACACACTGGGCCCCAGGGGGCTGAGGTGGTTTACAGGCCGCTTCTCCATGTGGTGACTCTTCA